GTTGAGATAACATCCCCTTCCCCCACCACCCACAGATAACTGAAGGAGCAGCCGTTGAAAAAGGAAAAAAAAAAAGGCAGTTGCCTTGCTCTGCCTGCAGGAGAAATGTCAGGAAGTGTCTGGTGGTGGGTGGGATGAAAGGAGGAAGCTGAACTCTAAAGAGAATATTCCAGCTCTGCTCGTGCAAACAAATGCCCCTCTGTATTCTGCTTGATAAGAACATCCAGGAGCAGGTCCTTTTGCGTGCGGGAGGGCAGAGTCACTTCCACACCTCTGAGGGATTTATTTGTACATGCTGCATTGCCCCCAGCACGCCATGAACTGGAGGGGAAAAGATGGGAACAGCCAGGGAAAAGCACAAGCATCATCAATAATTAATAGAGCCTTTTTGTAATGGGAATGATCCAGTATTAATTATGAAGTTAATTTCTTTTTGGATGGTTTGTGAGTGTGTATGAAATTTGGACCAGGATTTAAGTTCAGTGCAATCATGCTTTTATTCTAATTACAATAATTATAAATCTATTCTGCATCCTCTTTTTAAGTCTCAATAACAGTGGCTTTTGTTTCCAAACACGCCAGACAGCAGTTTTTGCACACCAAATATGGCAGCTCTCAGCTCCCCAAAGTGAATCTGGTTGTAAATACAAAGGAAATTGTTTTCATTCATTGTCGCTGTGCAAATGTGAAAGTAAGCCCAGAACGTGGGTCAGGATAAGTACTTTGGATTTCTAAAATCCCAGAGTCAACAGTGAGGAAGGAACTTAATTGCACACATCATGAAATATTTAAACAGCCAGTGACCAACGTGCAGATGTGAGATCCAGACTGTCATAGATAATTCCGTGTTACAAACAGCTGATGCTGCTCTGCTTCAGGGACTTTCTTACTCTGGAGCCTTAAAAATTGTCTGTGGACCATTTTGAAGTTTCTTTTTTGTACTGGGTGATCTATTGGAAAAAAAAAATCTGTGGCAGAAGCACAAAACCCAGAGGGAGAACTGAGTTTCTTATTTAACTGTAGGCCATCAGCTTGATATCCCCTGAGGACATGGGAGTATCTCCTCTGTAGCAGGTTGAGGGTGAAGGTTGACATGAATAATCTCTGGAGCTCTTTGGCCACTTGTGTTGTTTTGCCCTCTCACAAACTCTGGTTGCTGCTATTTAATGTCACCCTGAACTTGGTGCCATGACTACATCACTTTTTCCAAATGCAGAATGAAACTGTTCATTTTAATACTTCCACCATTTTCTTGTTCTGAAAAAGAAAAAACCAGGTTTCCTTATGGTTCTGTGTGTTCCCACTGTTCCCCCTCTCGTGCGAGTTTATCTTTTGGAAATAACAGTGGATTAGAAATATATACACAGAGAAGACACTGCCAGTCTTTAGATTTTTAAGAAAGTCCCACAGCCTGATGAAATACAGCACTGGGAGTCTGCTCCCTCCTGCCCCACTGACATTCCTGGCATAGCCAAACATTAAGCAGGGCTGCTGGGATTTTGCAGGGCTGATGTTTCTGTTTCCTGTGCAGTGCTTGGGTCTGTGAGATGGAAGAACAGGATTCTCTGTAACAATTACCTCTGTTCTTGTCACATTGTTTACTGTCATGGAATCACAGTTTGGGTTGGAAGGGGCCTTAAGGATCATCCAGTGCCACCCCCTGCCATGGGCAGGGACACCTTCCACTAATCCCAGGTTGCTCCAAGCCCCATCCAACCTGGCCTTGGACACTTCCAGCGATCCAGGGGCAGCCACAGCTTCTCTGGGCAACCTGTGCCAGTTGCCAAGACCACTCCTGCTCTCCTGCCCCTCAGCTTCAGGTACCAGGGGTTCTGTTGGCACTTTACAGCCTCCTTTGTTCTATAAACAGTGGTGCTGTTATTGGTGACACTGTGACTGACGTGAGCCCCAGAATGATGAGATGGTCTGCAGAAATCCTGGCTCTTCCAGGCGGGTTTATCCCAGTGCACCACAGACTTGGCTTAGCAGAGCCTGCGGCACAAGGACTGACCCTGCACCTTCTGGGTGCCTCAGTGCTCTGCCCTCGTGATTCTTAAAATTCCTGAGCACCACTAGTTCTGGGAATTTGTGCAAACAGCTCCTAAACTGTTTCCTTCCTGGTCAAAAATGCCCAGGGAATGCCCAAGGAGAGCAGACGTGGCATCTCCTCACAACACTTAATTGCTTCTTCACTGGTGGTACATATTACTGGGATTCGTGTTTGTTTGTACCTGGGACACTTACAGAACCTCATGGGGTAATTATTCCTAATTAGCAGCTTGGACACATGCTGCTCTTTCCTCTTGCAATCTGCAATTAATAACACAGAGATAATGCAGATTTCTCCTTGTCAGTCTTGTGTTTGCATTTATAGGAGTAGGAAACAATTTAGGGAAAAAAAATATTTAAATCAACAACCTGCTGAGCTCCATGCGGGGATTACCTGAGGATTGCCCTGTGTTTGTGGCAGCTCAGACATTCAGAACTTCAGGCACCTTAGTGTCAGCCTGATTCCTTCTGTCATATTCCTCTAAAGCTGCTACAGGTCTTTTTCTTATTAGTCATGGACTACTTCTTACCACAGCTTAATTCAGTTTGTAGATCAGTTGTACAGTGTGAAAAACCTTCAGAAGTAGTGACACTGGTGTTATTGTTAAAATAGATTAATATTTTGGGGAAGAGAAGGCTCTTGAGTTCTCCTTGCTGTTTTGCTTCTCCCAGCAGCCCCTATTAAACTAATGTGTGCTTGCACTGAACATCCCAATAACCAGATCAATGTGAAGGATGGAGAAATACTTCAAGTATTATCCCAGTTGTCAGAGAGAATTTCCTCTCTCAGATATGTTTATTTACAGTGGAACATACGGGGGAGAACATCCCAAGCTTTGTTTGTTTTTGTATGAAACCAGCAAGTTGCCAGGTGCGAATATTTACAAAATAGGTGATTGTCACCAGAGGTAGTTTTTATTTCAAGTCCTCCTCAGATATCAATGTTTCTTTGATTTGAAGCCCACAATAAATACACATACTGCAGCTGCAAAACACAGGATCTTATCCTGGCCTCTGTTAGATCCATGGAAATTCAAAGCCACTTTGTGAACTTCAGATAAGTTCTACAGATTTCTGTTCTACGGATTTTTCAGAGCATTGTCCAAACACTCCTGGAGCTCTGGCAGCTTTGGGACCGTGCCCACTGCCCTGAGGAGCCTGTTCAGTGCCAACCACCCTCTGGGGGAAGAACCTTTCCCTGAGATCCTAAACCTCCCCTGACACAGCTCCAGCTGTTCCCTCAGGTCCTATCGCTGGTCACCAGAGAGCAGAGATCACTGCCTGCCCCTCCCTTTTTTTTTGTTGTACTGATTTTTGTTGTACAGATTTTTGCAGGATTAGGAGCAGATACATACTCTTTATTTCTTTCGTGTGATGCTAAAAATCAGTAGCTCCATAAAATCCAGTTCTCTTATACTTAGGACACAACAAAGGCAAAACCAACCCTTTTCCACTCAATATTTTTTGTTTCCTGAGCAGACAGAACCAGGTGTGACAGCGAGGCGACGCCACGTTGTTTGTGTGTGGTAAGAGCCAGTCCCAAATTTGTTCTTCCAGTGTTTTAACCTCTGAGACACCTCGTGGTGGAAACACTCACTGCTGGCAGTGGTTCCACATGGCCGAGAATCCATTTTACAATGGCTTGGGGCTTCCATTCTGCAGCACTTGGAAGTGGCCAAAGTCCTGCAGCCAGTACAACACCGATTCGGGGCCGGAATCGATCTATGGCTCATTTTTATTTAAACAATGTAAAGCCGGGGGAAATTAATTTTCTTCCTGTCCTGTGAGGAAAGGCTGAGAGAATTGGGATTGCTCAGCCTGGAGAAGAGAAGCTTCGGGGTGAACTGATTGTGGCCTTCCAGGACCTGAAAGGGCTACAGGAGAGATGAAGAGAGACTATTTCCAAGGGCCTGGAGCAACAGGACAAGGGGGAATGGCTTCAACTTGCCAGAGTTAGATGGATACTGGGAAGAAATTCTTCCCTGTGAGGGTGGTATGCCCCTGGCACAGGTTGGCTGCTGCATCCCTGGAAGTGTTCCCTTCCATCCCAAACCACTCCATGGTTCCATGATCCTACGAAGAACAAAGCCAGCCTTTGACTTTCATGAGACCAATAATGTTATATCACAGCATTGCACCAGTTATGGTGTCTGTGGCAAATAACGTATGACTTTGGTTTGGGTTTCACACCTGGGGTTTGGTTTTGGTTCTCCACACCCAAAAGTGAATGTGAAACATCCCTCAGAGGTCAAGAGTTCGATGGAGTGAAAACGCCATAAAAACATCGGGTTGGGGTCTTCTTGTGTATCCAGCATGGCACCACTGAAACCAGGGACACTAAAGAGATGGAATGGACTTTTGGCCGGTTTTCTATGTTAGAGCATGGAATATTTGGACCGTAATGACTACGGAATTGTACAGCTGCTTTATTTTTCAACTGAGAGTGCGCCGTGTAGGTTTTGGGGGAATTGGCACTCACTTTTTATCAGCACCAAGACATGCCCTGCATTCCCAGGGTGTCTGGAAGCCGTGGATTGCTTTTCACAGCTCAGGGTTCAATTTTGGTGCTTCCCTGCCCGCCTTTTCACACAAAACAGTGTGAGCGGAGCCCCCTCCATTTGTGCTGGGATTTCATTAGCACCCTTGAATGCATAAATCGGATATTTTTTATCTCAAATTGGCTCTCAAAGCGGAGCGAAGGCTCTGGCCGCGCCGAAGCAGCGAACTATAACTGAAAACGCGTTTTTTTGACGCTTTTCCAGCCTTTTTCCAGCCGTGGCTGAAAGAGCCCTGAGGGCGCGGGGGGCGGCGCCGGGCCGCGGGCCCCGCCTGACTGACAGTCGAGCTAGCCAATCACAACCCGCGCTTTCCACCGTGACTCCGCCTCTCTCTGCTCAAACCGCCCAATCAGCGCGCGGGAGGTTAACGGCCCGGCCCGTGCTAACGTCGGCGGTCAAACGCGCCAATGGGCACAGGGCAGGTTCGTTACCAATGAGATCAAAGAGTTAGTGGAGCAGCGACACACTATTGGCGAATCCGCCTGTCGGTCATCGGCCCCGGGGCCGGCGGTTGGCTGCTGGGGAGCAGGGGGAGGTTTCCGGGGGCGGGGACACTATATTAGGGGCGGACAAAGGCGGCGGCCAGGCCGTTCAGCTCGCCGCCATTTTGCGTAGCGGGTGCTGAGCGGCAGCGGCCGGAGCGCGCTCTCTGCTCTTCTCCTCCTCCCTCCACTCCATCATGTCGCGGGATCGCTTCCGTAGCCGTGGCGGCGGCGGCGGCGGCTTCCACCGGCGCGGCGGTGGCGGCGGCCGCGGCGGCCCGAACCACGATTTCCGCTCGCCGCCGCCCGGCATGGGCATGGGGCAGAACCGCGGCCCCATGGCGGGCGGCCCGCAGGGCCCGGGCGGCCCGCCGGGCGGTGGCCCGAAGCCCGAACCGCCGAAGCCGCCCACGTCCACCTCTGCTCCCCCTTCTTCGTCTTCTTCAGCCGCCGCCACCACGGCAGGATCCACCGGCAGCCAGGCTGGAGCGCCTCCATCCTCCGCACTGCCCGCAGGACAGCAGCCGCAGCAGCAGCCGCCGGTGTCGGCGCCCTCCTCGACTCCCTCCGGCCCGCAGCCGCAGTCCAAGCCCAGCCCGAGCCCTACGCCGGCCGGCGGCCCTAAGAAAGGACAAGGACAGTCTCCCGGCGGTGGCCCCAAGGGGCCGGGCGGCCCGCAGCAGGGGCCTCACAAGGGCGGCCCGGGGCACCGCGGCGGGCCTGGCGGAGAGCCGCGGGGTCGCGGGCAGCAGCACCAGGGCCAGCAGAGCCTCGGGGCGCAGCAGGGCTCGGCGGAGAGGAGCGAGAAGCTCTCGGACGAGGTGAGTCGCGGCCCCCCCACACGCGCCTCCCTCAGGCACAAGATGGCGGCGGCTCCGCGCGCCCGCGCCGCCATCTTGAGGGGAGGAGCAGGCGGGGGGCGGTGGCGGGTCCCGGGCGGGCCCGGGGCTCTGGTTTGTGTCCCGGCGCTGCGGTTTGTGTCCCCTGGGTGCCCGGGGGTTCCGGGGGTTTGGTTTTTTTTCCCTTGGTTGCCGGGGGGTTCCGGGGGTTTTGTTTTTTTTCCCTTGGGTGCCCGGGCGGTCCCGGAGCTGTGGTTTGTGTCCGCTCGCAGTTCTTCCGGGCGGTCCCAGGGCTGTGGTTTGTGTTCCCTCACGGTTCTCCCGGGCGGTCCCAGGCCTGTGGTTTGTGTCCCCTCGCGGTTCTCCGGGGTCCCCGGCGCTCCCCGCAGCTAGATGGTGCAGCGCGTAGTGATGGCTCGAACGCTCTGCTTCTTTGTAGGGGTTTAAAGCGAACCTCTCCCTCCTGAGGCGGCCTGGGGAGAAGACTTACACACAGCGCTGCAGGTTGTTTGTTGGGAATTTGCCCGCTGATATCACAGACGAAGACTTTAAAAGACTGTTCGCCAAATATGGGGAGCCAGGAGAGGTTTTTATCAACAAGGGAAAAGGCTTTGGATTCATTAAATTGGTAGGCGCTCGTGCTGTGTGTCCGTCCGTTTAATTCTCGCGAATTAGCGATGTAGAACTTAGTCCTCTAAAACCGGGTTTTAAACTTCCCCCAGGAATCTAGGGCTCTTGCAGAAATCGCGAAGGCGGAGTTGGACGATACCCCGATGCGGGGCCGGCAGCTCCGCGTTCGCTTTGCCACACACGCCGCTGCCCTGTCGGTGCGGAACCTCTCGCCCTACGTGTCCAACGAGTTGCTGGAGGAAGCTTTTTCCCAGTTCGGTCCGGTGGAAAGAGCTGTTGTGATTGTAGATGATCGAGGTAGATCAACAGGAAAAGGCATTGTTGAGTTCGCGTCAAAGCCAGCTGCCAGGAAAGCCTTTGAACGGTGTACTGAGGGGGTGTTTTTGTTGACAACGTAAGTACTTCCCCAGGATTATCGTTTTAAGTTGAGTAGAGATTGTAGGCTTCTAGTTTTTCAGAGTGGAAGTTCTTACAGAGAAGTAAAATGAGTGTTTTCTGTTCAGCACTCCCAGGCCAGTTATTGTGGAACCATTGGAACAATTGGATGATGAAGATGGTCTCCCAGAAAAGCTTGCTCAGAAGAATCCGATGTATCAAAAGTAGGCACTGTCTTTTGTTATAAACAGGATATAGGTGATGTTTTATGTAGTATTGTCCCAGGCTCTGAGGGGGATGGAGTAATTTTTGAGAAACAGGCTTTGAATTTTGAGATGTATTGCCAGTTCTCTTTTTTTTTGTTCGTATTTTTGTATAAAGTAACATACTGATTCGTTTAGTATGCTCGTTACACAAGCAGTTTTCTACATTGTGTCACGAAGAAATAGAAGCCCAGTGACAGATGGTTTTGGTGTGTGGAGAAACTCTTGAAAACCAGACTTGAACTGTTTTATCCTATTGTTGAGAACTGTCATCTCCCTCAAGGCGTGCCTCGTGTTGATGATCCCATGGGGAGCTTGGAAATTGTTTTTCATGCTTTGAAATGAGAAATGAAGTAAAATTTTAACTCATTCCATGATTAATAGAAACTTGCTGCCTGTGGATTTGCCTTATGTGCTGACCATTGGCATAAAGGAATGTTAAAGAGTCTAGAGGAGTCTTTTCCAAAGTAGCAGTTTTAGGTTAGAATCTGTATATTAAACCTGTTTGTTGTAGGATTGTTGTATTTTCCCAGATCACAGAAGGGAGAGCAGGGAGAGAGATCCAGTCAGTCTTGTTTGGCAGAGAAAGTTCTGAAAATTCTTGCTTTGATCAAAAACTGTAAGTGATTTAGAGGCAGCTTTGAAAAGAATGTGGATTAATACAGCGTTCCTAAAATGTTGAAGTACTTATATATTGTAAATGTATGGGAAGCTTTGAACTTTCATGATTTTGTCATTAATTACTGAATGTTAGACTCCAGTTTCTTTATATGACAGAATAAACTGTTGGCCCTCAGGGATTTTGAGAACTATTTAAGTGAAAGTGAAGGCTGTTATTTGCCTTTGACACATAGTGCTTTGGCACTGGAAAAATCCACTTCTCTGTGTGCTGCTGCTCTGAGTGGCTGTGCCTGTTGGGGCAAAGGCCTGTCTTGTTTGAGGATTTTGCACCTGGAATTGCCAGCAGTGGAGAGTCTAAAGACAGTTAAGAAAGAAATAAACAAGTGGTAGCACTCTAAAGATTTGCCTGGATGTGATAGTGCAGGATTCTCTGTATCTGCTGTGATAATTATTTGTGGGAAATGCTGCTGTTTAAGCGTGTAAAGTGCTGCACTCCCATCACAGCGAGTTCTCTGTCCCACAGTTGTCAGGAATTTTCAGGGTTCCTTTGATGCTCCCTGATAATTCAGTTATTCTGCTCGTGATCTTGTACTGACCTTGAGTTTCCAGGTTTGCCCACTCCGAGCATTTTCCTTTCTGCAGGGAAAGAGAGACTCCTCCCCGTTTTGCTCAGCCTGGCAGTTTTGAATTTGAATATTCCCAGAGATGGAAATCTTTAGATGAAATGGAAAAACAGCAGAGAGAGCAAGTGGCAAAAAACATGAAAGATGCCAAGGACAAACTTGAAAGTGAAATGGAAGATGCTTATCACGAGCACCAGGCAAACCTCCTTCGTCAAGGTAATTAGTTCTGAATTCTGTATTTTTGCTTTAAATGCTGAGCTTAGATGCATGTCTGTTTAGTGGGTTAGTGAGTAAATTTATACTTCCTCCTGTGAACTTGAGAGTTTCAGAGTTAAAAAAAAAAGAGCAACTGGTAGGTTTTTTTATTTCAGTGGGGTATTGTTAAGAAGAGTGACATTGGAAGGTACCTGTCTGCCACAGTGCAGCTGAGGTGGATCTAATTCAAATCTGATTAGAGTCTGGTGTGATGTTGTGAAAAAGCTGCTCACAGGCTTCATTCCCGCAGACCTCATGAGGCGCCAGGAGGAGCTGAGGCGAATGGAGGAACTTCATAATCAGGAAATGCAGAAGCGCAAGGAAATTCAGCTGAGGTTGGTTCGGCTTTCATGGGATTTCAGTTACATTTATGGGTTGGTTTGGGTTTTTTTTTCCATTACTTACATATGAAAGTTTCTGTTTTCCAAGAGCGCCCTTGCCGCTTCAGTTTGTGCGAATTGAACTGCAGTGTAAGTGTCTCCTCAGATATTTGGGCATTATAGAGTTTGGTTTTGTGCTTCGTTCAGTGCCTTTGAAATTGCTGATACAAATAATGTTGGGAAATGTTGGGGTGTCGTTCCACTGCTGGGGTTTAACAGTCTGCTTTGGGGTGAGCAGGCAGGAGGAGGAGCGTCGCCGGCGGGAAGAGGAGATGATGATCCGTCAGCGGGAGATGGAAGAGCAGATGAGAAGGCAGAGGGAAGAGAATTATAGTAGAATGGGTTACATGGATCCAGTAAGTGAAATCGTGGCGGGTTTTGGGTGTCTTACCATGCTGAGGAATTCTGCTGATGTATTTTCAAGGTTGCTGTGTTTTGCTTCCTTTGGGTTTGCTACTGCACCGTGTTTGTGTAGGGGCAGTGGCAGTAGTTGGCTGTACATGTGCTTTATCTCCTGAAAAGTCTGGATTTTGGTGCTTTATTAGCCTTGCTAAAAGATGTTTCTTTTACACAGAGGGAGCGAGACATGAGAATGGGTGGTGCTGCCACAATGAACATGGGAGGTAAAGAATCTCTTCAGTAATTAGTTCATGTGGTTAACCTAGAAATTGTCAGAATATGATTATATATTTCTCTTTCTTAGATCCTTATGCTTCAGCAGCCCAGAAATTCCCACCTCTGGGAGGTGGTGGCGGCATAGGTTATGAAGCTAATCCAGGAGTTGGCCAAGCAGCCATGAGTGGTTCTATGATGGGAAGTGACATGGTAACGTATCCTCTGGTGGCTTTAGCTTAGCACGAGGGAATTGTGGTTGGGAATGAGTTCTCTCCAGTGTTCGGATGGATGTGGAAATGTCACTGTTAACTGCTGACTCTGGTCAGATGTTTAACACAGACTGTGGCAGTGTGTAGCACTAGAGTAGTTGTTAACCTTTATGGTAGCTTACACACTTGGAAGTTGATTGGAAGTGAATTCAAATGTGCTGTTAAGCATATTTGCAATTAACTCAGACTTCATTGGACTTTGGAAATTCTGCGTCACTGTTAGGCTTGGAAGGATTTTTTTGTAAACTCTAGAGAATCTGACAAATTTCGTTAAAGTACATAATGCAGTAGCTTTTCAGTAATTTGATGTTCTGTGTTGATGGACAAGAGAGATTTTTGTTCTCCTTCCCAACGTATAACACTGTTTCTTTGGCCCTTCCAAGCCTAGGTAGGCTGGATGCATGTTGGTCTGGGTATGCTGTTGAGTCCAGAATCTGCTCTCAGGTCTCTTTCAGCAGCAGATTGACTTAAGTGATCAGTGGTAAACAGCATATCCCTTAGTCTGTGCTGATGTTGCTCTAGAAGAGCAGAAATGCTGGTTTTTAGCTTCAGGCATATTCCAGCCATCCTGGACTGTAGCCATTTGTGGTTCCTGTGTCCCAAAGGAATGATAGCCCGGTGTGTTCTCCCATGTTGGGTATGACACAAAGATAGAGCCTGTTAAAGCTACATCATATCTCCTGTTCTGAGGTATGTTTCCAAACTGTACTATTTTTAGCACACTACATGTGTGCCTGGGCTTGGAGGCTGCTTGGTGTTCCCACCCTGAAGCACCATGGACGTAGATTAAAGAAATGCTTAATGGGCAGGATGGGAATCTGTTGGCTTAGGTGGCAATACCAGTGTGCTCTCACCCTCCTGAAGGGGTGACACTTGCAGCACAAGCTGAACTAAATGATTTTTGGGTGGGTTTAGGCCTTGGGCTTAACATCCTGAGCTACCACAGTAGCTTCCATTTTACTTTTTTGGGGAACCATATCTTTGGAATTGTAACTTCTCAGAGCATCATTGATTCAGTAGACAGTGCCGTTGGCCTTAAGGTATCTCGATAATCTACTGATATTTGAGCAGTTCCTAAGCTTCCTGTGAGCAGTCAGGCAGTGTGTGGTGGATGCTGTGTACATTTTTCTCCTCAAAACCATGGTACAGGTGCATGTTGAACTTGTGTAATACCTGAAACGTGATCTGGTCAAAAGGGGTGACAGTGAGATGGATTAACTGCCTGGAGTTTCTTAGGCTGGGGATCTCTGCCACACAGTGCTGTCACAGTTCCTGTGCTGATACCTTTAAACAGAATTGGAGATGAGCTTGAAGCTGCCATGAATTAGGCAGAAATAACCTAAATAATGTTTGAAATTCCTTTCTCGGAAGGATTGACACTGACTTTCAGAAGTCAGGAATTCAAAGTGTGGATTGTCAGTTGCAGATACTTTTTGTAACAAACCACCTACCATTGTTCTGTGACTCAGTAGTGGGAAACCTGGTTGAAATGAAAGTTTAAAGCTCTCTTTGACCTCATAATGTGTAAGTTCTGTAGGTTGAATGCTGATCACACCTACTAATACAGTAACTGAACGAAGTACATGCAACTAGAGGTACTAGTAAAAATATACCTGAAGTGTCTGCTTTATTGCAGAGTAACTCAGCTGTTACACCTTGGTGTGAGACCTTTCAGTGCTGTGAAGTTGTGACTTTCCCAAGAGCTTGTGGTGAAGGCGGGGTGGGAAGGGAGGTACTGCCTGGATGCACACCCCCTCTGTGCATAGCTCTAACTGGACACACTGAGCGCTTGGAACACTTTTTGCATCTGATGCAGCAGCAGCTCTGGAGTATGTGGGGTTTGAACAAGTGCCAGTCTCTGCTCGAGCAGTTGTGATGGTTTAGGAAAAGCACTGGTCAGTAGCTTTTTTCACTTTTTTTTTTTTTTTCCCTTCTTGCAATGCAGTAGTGCTCACAATGAGTTCTGGTACTGCCTAAGGCCTCTGCAGTTTAGTCAGCAGACCGTAGTCTTAACCCCATCTTGAAAAGCTCATGGTCTCTAGACAGCACATGCCAGTCCTGGTGAGTAGGCATTCTGTTACATTTGATGAATGTCAGCTCCTGCTTCAGCCAACCGGAGCTGCCTTCTCTGATTAGGCTTATTTGGAAACAGTGATGTAATCTGAGCTTTTACTGCACTAAAGGTGAGAAGTTTGCAAGCTATTTGCATTAACTTGGTTGAAAAATTTTGCTAGAGCTCATTTGGAAAAGTTGTTAATTCACATCTGCACTAATGCTTACATTTCTAGCACTGCAGGGAGGATCTGTTCTTTGTAACAGATGTATGAGAATGCATCAAGTGGGAACATACCTCAAGGCATGTATTACAATAAACTAATTTTTAAATTACCCTTTTTTCCTTTCTATGTTCCCGGTACCTGTGGATCGACTCAATGGTGATTGTATCGACGAACCTTGACTACGGAACCTTCTAAAAATATATACTTAACACACATGGACATCAACTACCTATAATGAACTGTTAATTCTGTTCCAATAGCGTCCTGAACGCTTTGGGCAGGGAGGTGCGGGGCCCGTGGGTGGCCAGGGTCCCAGAGGAATGGGGCCTGGAACACCAGCAGGATATGGTAGAGGGAGAGAAGAATATGAAGCCCCAAACAAAAAGCCCCGATTTTAGATGTGACCTGTAGTTTCATTCCAGTTTGTTTTTTGTCTGTCTTGTTTAGACACCAACTTCTTAATTCTTGCATTTTAGTAAGAAAGCTACGTTTTTATGGATGTTAGAAACTTACTGACCTAATATTTGTAAGTGGTCTGTTTGGGCGAGTACAATTTAATTATGTAATGCAGTGTTTCAAAATCAAATTTAGCTGTTTTTTTGATGTATAACGTCCCTAACTTGATGGCAGTGTACCTTGTGCCACTGAATTCCCAAAGTGTACCAACCTTTTTTTTACTGTGCTTCAAATAAATAGAGAACTAAATGTAGTAACTCTTCTTGCCAGTCGTGGTTAAACAATTGAGGCTGAATCCCACACCTGCTGCAGTAACCCGAGAGCCTTGAGTCGAGGTTGGACTAGACCAGGGTGTGGAACTGCAGCGAAGAGTGAGATCTCTTCCCACAATGCCTCTCTAGCTAAAGATTGGGTTAAATTGTAGCCGAACTTTGCAGTAGATGCAGATTTTTTTGAGCAGTCATTGTGCTGCAAATAAGGAAGCAAATGGAAACCTTGCAAGTGCTGTAAGATACAATATTTAAAGCTCCACTGCAAGCAGCATAGTAACAAATTCCATATTTTAGCTACAGCTGACGGGTGGTGGGATGGTAGCACTTGCCACCCCGGTAGTCACTGCTTGGAATCTTTTAAAAACTTAAAGCAGAAGACTAGCAATGGTTATTTTAAAATAAATTCATAGAATGCCTTGCATTGGCTGACTTCCTAACTAAAGGATTGTTAATGTGATATTTATATGCTCTTAAGCTGTCTTGAGATCACAGGATCTGGCCTTTGCTCAGTTTTGTAAACCTGCCTGAAATTGCTTGGCAAAAAGACCAGAAGTGTTACTCGAGTGATTAAGGTTAACTTGCTTATGTCCTCATGCTAACAGTGGACTAATTTGCCTAGTTCAGAGTACAATCATTTGTATTATGGGGACTGCAGGAACTATTCCTAAATCGTGTAGCTGGTGGGCAAATCCTAAAATCCTGTATGTAAAACACAGCAATCAGCTTGCTTGCATGATGGTTATCGCTCTTTTATTATTGATGTTTGGAGATAATGCTTCAAAAGTAGTATCTGAATCTGGAGTTCAAGAGTTAATACTACACAGTGCAAATAAACTCCCTTTAAGGTTCTCTTTGTAGAAGATCTGATGAATTCGTTAGCTCGCTGTTCATTGTATTAAGCCCCAGAAGAATTTCAGAGCATTCTGGACTCATTGGTAAGGTAGTTGCTTTGCTTATTATTACACTGTACCAGGTGAGCTGGGAACGTGACTTCCCAGTGTCAAATACCTGAGTGTTAACGCAGGACACATCAACCTGCTTGGCACAGAGTCTGTAAACTTAGCTTGGCTGTACCTTCACACGATCCCCAGCCACCAGTGTTCTGTGAGTAGCTTTAATCTTCCCAATATCTTTCCATTCCTTGTGCTAAGCATTGGCTAATTCCAAATTCTACGCTAAATTTTCTCTCTGGTTAAAACTTTAGTGTCAGATTGCAGTATTTTAGAGTGAAGATGGCTGATCCCTCTTGAAGTACTGTTACCCCTTAAATGACAAGTAGCAAGCTGGGAAATACTGATACAGGTAACGCTGACTGGGAACATGAAGCTCACTAAAGACTGACTGAGCTTGTTTGGTGAACGCTTCTTAGTCACCCAGAAAAGTTTGGGGGTTGATAACATGTTACAACAATGAATTGCTCTTCAGGAAATTCTAAATTGCCAGTTCCTAAACTGCAGACCAATTACTTGGGAGTCCTTGTATTGGATAGTTCACAGAGGAGCAGTATGGATGCAATTTGAGCTATTGAAGCAGTTTGAAACAATGTGTTTGCTGGAGGGTGTTCGTGGGACACCCACAGAAGCTGAAGGTGTCTGAGGTGGGGAATTCTGAACGTGAACATTAAATTAATTTTTTCAGTTTATTTTTCAGATTACATGTCATTCTTTATTAAAAGAGATGCTGGTGCATATCCTAAAGTATGTTCTTTTGTAGTTCTGTAACTTGGAAGAGTGAAGGATGCTGCTGTCCTTGTACCTTACAGAGCTTGTCTTTGGGTACCCCTGTTTTGTACGTAAGCTACTGTTAGGTATTAAAATAGCTGAGTTGCAAAACCATGATTAGTAAATATTTTGAAAGATTTGGCAGTTTTCAAAACATCTGAAAGTTTGGTTAAATCTGGCTTTGTTGTAGCTGCATAAGCAGAATTTCTAAAACAAGTTCTGCTTTGAGTTGCATGTACTAAACAGGCATATGATGAATTAGCCAACTTCATTTAAAGACCTTTTAAAAGTGGTGTCTTAAAAGCTGGCAAACACGTCAACTTTCAAATCTGGTAAAGTTACTAAATGTGGGAGGCGAGAAAGTGATGTTCCTTTGATCTGTTCCTATGAGGTTTTGGACTTTTTTCATAAACTCAGATTTATATAATGGAATCTTTAAAACCATTCAGAAAAGTGGTTTGCTGGACAGACCTGTTTTTTGGATGGTCTGGATCGCATAACGCATTTTTGTACTGGACTTGGAGGACATTGGCTGTTGCAATTTAGTTTGTTTTATCAAAATTGAGCCCATTTTGACATTTAGAGCTCTAAAAACTGCAGCAAGTAGAAACTGGTATCGTTATACATATATCTTTGCACTTTCTCAGAAACGAATACAGAATAATCTTAACTTTCTGGTGTAGACACATTACACGAATCATTTATACAGCTGATGAGAAACTGAAACTGCTTTTGAGATTTTGTGGTATTTTTGTGGTAGACAAATTCTTGGCTTCTCCTTGGCAACCATTTACTGTGGCAGCAAGTTCTTGCTGGAGTTTTGAGACTGCAATTTACACTTTAAAAACTAGTGGCCTGCTACATAACTGCACTTAGCCAGCATTTCTGCAGTTCATAACTGTGAGGAACGTAGTACCACAAATGGCAATGGACATTAGGACCCGGATGTAGTATTCCTGCTTGCTCCGAGATTCTCATTGCCGACTGCGTCCAGGTAGGTAACAAGCAATATAATATAACTTGGTGACTTTCTATGTAATCTTATACTGTGGGTATTCTGACATCACACTTCTGACTGTGGAATTACAGTGCAGCACTCCATACCTGTATGTTGAGCTTGCATCAAAGCTGTGTGGTTTTCGGTTTTGAAGCTTTGTCTCGTTCAGAGACAACGAGCAACTTACTGTGGTTCTTAGCTGAGGATTTCCAGACCCGATTCCTCTGTGCATACGACTCGGCTTGGGTGGATTTTTCTTAGTTCCGATGTAACGAAGATATTCTTAGCTGAGCACTGTGGGGAAGAGGGAATGTGATCTTGGACTCACTCGACTAGTCGACTAGGTGCTCTCAGTGCCTAGAAAAGAACTTGTTTAAACTTTCTGTAGTGAGCAAGTGGCCCATCTGCAGCTCATCCCTGTGTAGAGTCTTGGCTCGGTAGGAATGCGTTAATAACCGCTGCTCTTGCCTCGTGTGCGCTGTGTGAGTCACCTCAAACTCCTGGTACAGGCAGCTCTGACACTGATCTGGAATATTTTTGAGAACATAAATGAGTGCTTGAATTAATATCCCATGAATAGTTTCATAAAGCTTATATTGGACTTTGCAGTTGTCTTTATTTTAGCCTTTGATTGGCAAGCCTGATACATTCCTGTGCTTTAATTGACAGCGATGAGATTCTGTTACTTCTGCCTGGTAGAGTCATCCCAGTAGTGTAATGCTCAACTTCATTTTTCATCAGTCTTGGGGATGTAATTCTAAACTCTTCATTACTACAACTACTGACTGCAGTGTTCCAGGATTAACATGCTTACCTTGCCAGACATCCAGACATGCTGATCTCCAGCTCTTTTGCATTATTCTTGAACCTGAATTTCAAGGTCCCTTGTTCCTGCATGTAGTCTGGCTCTTGTCTGATACTCAGTTTATTTTGCAGGTGTTGTAATGTGTTTTCCCACTTGTTCTGCAAAGTTTTGCTTTGCATACTTGTTTCTGGTATTATTGTCACTTTTGGACCCTTCTGTGTTACCTTCCAGGCAGGACTCTTGCTGGTGAACAGGGATCTGCTGGACAGCCTTGCCCTCTGCTGTAGCCACCTTTCCATGTTCCACTGGACACTTGAAGTAGCAGCTGCACCTTGAGATCATGACAACAGGTCTTTGGTTACACCCCAGTGAGTGTAGCCAACACCAGCTGGTCACACAGTGACACCTTGTCACAAAGTCAGTCTAACTTTCTGTGATGGCTTACCTTTACCTGTGACTGGGATCCACTCCATGATTGCTCACCCTTACTTGGAACTGGGATCCAGTAGAAAACCTGGCAGCCAGCGTGCTGTCCTGTAGCAAAACTGAATTAGTGATCTTAAACTAGTGCTCAGATCTGACTTCAGTTTTTCTAGTTATCCAGTTCTGGATGCTTGACTTTCAGGAATGTCATGGAGGGGTTACTGGCACATCTGCCTCGTTCTATGTACTTGAACTTAGCACGTTTTTGACACTCTTGGAGCGAGCAATTTGTGACTGAACCGTGGGCTCAGACCAGCTCTGGCTGCAGTAATGAAACTTGGTGTGGTAGCGAACTTTAAATAGTCATGTCTGCTCTAAGTCAGTCTGTAACAAGTGGGTACAAGGAATGCCATTCAAGTGCTTGCATTGTGTTTCATCTTGGTTTTATCTGTGTGTGAAAAACACTTTTTCTCAAAAGCTTACCTGAAGCTCAGAAGTGTGGTGTCAGAATACATTGTACTGCTAGGCCCTCCGAGCAGACCTGGTGCTGGCAGGAGAGCACAGCACAGCGTGGATGGGGCTTTACTGTAACATTAAGCATACAAAGTGTTGATTTGCTTGCAGTTCTCCCCATAGCTAAACACTGAGGCCTGTGAGTAGTTTAGGACTCGAGCAGTAATGGGGTTGCATGTCTCTGTTAATCATTGCCAGCTGCAGTGACATGATCAGGAAGGCCAGTGTTCTGTTCCATTATGTTCAGTGAGGCTGAGCATGTTGGGAAGGATTCATCCAAGTATAGTGCTCTGGGGAATCACTTGGCTTCTTCCACTACTAGCAACTTTGGAATCAGCTAATTAGCTTCAGATTTTTTTTCTCTCTCCATACCAGCTAGTGGGGCTGTTAAATAGCTGCTGCCTGGCAAAGGAAAAAACGGGAGGATTGGCCTTCTCCCAGCTGTGTCATTGCTGCTAGGTAATGATTGACACGTTAGGACTTGGCTGTGCAATCCCGCAGTGGTCTGTGAATACCCCATCTCTATACATGTTGCTTCTGAACACCAGTACTGAAGAGCTAACTGGGGAGGGCTGGGAGGAGCGTGGCCAGTAGGGCATCTGCAGTGTTTAAAGGATGCACAAAGATATAGTATCCCTTATGCATGGGGTTTGTTGCTATGGCAGAGAAAACAATATGTGCATAACTCTCCTGCTCCTGAGGGCCATGAGAAAACCCAGGTGGTGGGTTGGACACTAATCCTGAACTTGTCCCTGCCTGGTCAGATCACACCGTGCCCGAGGTGTGATCTGCTTCCCAGCTGGAGCTGTACAGAGCCTTGGACCACATCCCCAGCTCTCACCATTGCAGGCTGCCCTCAGCTGTAGTAAAGGGGGGTCTCGAGAAGGGAAAAACCTTGCTGAGGATAAAAGCAGTGACAGTGCCAATCTTAGTGTCTGCCTTTGGCTTCTGAAGCACTTGTAGGACTGTTGAACCCAAGGGCTCCTACAGTCCAGGGCCACTGCACTCCCTCATGAAGGGGAATAGAGGGCATTGCTGCAGGACACAAATAGGGTCAAATAGTTGAAGTAGCTGACAAAAAATTAATGCCTTCACATAAGGGATAATATACCTCTGGCTGCAATCAAACCTCACTGTGCTCAGATGGGGGGTTATGGTTGGTGCTCACACAAGGTGCAGTTCTTCAGGCAACTACCTGCATATTCCTTCAGCTCTTGATGAGTGTTAAGGCCAGCCTATTTCTGCCCCTTATTCTTCCACTTAATGGTTTGGAATAACTGATAAATTACCCCTCATAACTAATCAGTCCATGTATCTTAAACCCTTATTTTTAAGTTAGTTTTGAAATGGTCCAGATTTGCTGTGTATGACTCTAATAACTTCAGTTGTTATCCTTTAGGTGAAGATGAAAGCTGAGTGACACCGGAGTGCTCATCCATGGGAAGTAAGTACCACTTTTGTTCCGCATGGATAAAATAATAAAGGTTTCTGGACACTTGATGTTGAGTCACTGAGTACCTTTGAATTGGGGAATACTAAGAAGTTGGAAAGAGTGAATAAATTAAATGTGTAGGGTAGAACTTAGTGCCTGCTGTCATGCCGTGGGCTTGAGCACCCTGACTCCATCTGGGTTTCATATCTTGACAGCAGCGGTTAAAAATACCTCTCTAGACGTGGGTTTGTACAAAAGATTTCAAAATCACTGTGGGTATAATAACTTGGGAATGTTTTTCCAGTCGAGGAGACGAGCATGAGCACATCCAGCACGGTGCCCAGTGGTGTGTGGAGGGACCAAGGGAACAGGTGGACAAGTAAGTAGTTGTTGTCCTTACACTGCTGTGAGAGTTTGATATCCCATCACCCTGTGGTGGGTTATGTAGTTCCTGCCTGAAAATCGTGATTAATCTCAATTTTATATAAAGTTTTGGAATCTTGCTTCTGTAGTGCCAAAATGTCACCATTGTCTGAGGCCTTTCAGCCCTGCAGCAGCAAATAAACTCTGTCCTTTTGAGAGCTGCAGGTGCTCAAACAAGAAATGACCATTCCTGCACTCAGCCTACAGAGAATGGGGTGGGTGATTGTCAGCATGGAAAAAGGAGAACAGAGCAGCTGCTTCTCAGATGTTAGCCCAACTAAACCTTGTGTAAAAAGCTACTTGGCTGAAATACTTTAACACTGAACTTTAAAAATAACCTGAAGTATAAATCAGCATGTACAGGAGCACAAGCAAATAGCAATTCAGGGAAATAAACTGACTTGCAGAGCTGGAATTTATGACATTTTCCCTCTAATTTGCCACTAAACTACAAGGGGGAACTTCAGATATTTAAAATGCTGTGTGAGGAGCAACATGCTGAGTATCTTCCCTCAGAAGTCACAGGTAAGTAACAGCTCAGATGCACAACTGAACCTTGAAGAGGTGAAGCCAGTGGGATTCAGTGGGTGCACTCCTGTAGAATCCTGTGTGGTTTGTCACTGCTGCTCTTGGCCCTGGCATAGGAAAACACACAAAGCCGTTTCAGATCTTAGAAACGGGAATTCTGTTCCTTTAATCTCAGATCTGATGTGAGAAAATTCTAGATAATGTTTGGCAAGCACGTGGCCTGTTGTGATGCTGATTCCTTGTCATGACGTAATTTCTGCTGGTGTTTTCAGTCTTTCTGATAATATGCTTTGTACTTGCAGAAGGAGAAGTCTGATTGCACTGAAGAGGAGCCAGGAAGATACAAATCTTAAAAATAAAACATTTTACTATTTTTATAAATGGCTTCTGTTTTATTCCAGTGTATTCAGTGAGTAAGCAGTCTGTCCAGTGTGGTATGGCTGGGTCTGAGAAACAAATTTCTGGATGTTTCACCCATTCCTTATCCCCATTTTGAGTCTTGTGTAGTTCTGTGTGATAGAATTCCAAATGTTAACCTGTGCCTGATTGGTTTTTAATAGCTTTCTTGGTGATGACTCTAGTAATTAAGGCTGGGATGCCAAAGTTAAGGGTTAAGTGCTGGGTTTAGCTCTTGCAGCACAAATTGCCCTGGTTCGTGTTGCTTCACCTGATGCTTTGACAGCTGTACTGTGCACATACGAGGTTCATGCTGTCACTCGTTAAATATCATCTTTTGTTTAAATCTGTTAATGTGCTAAAATACACCAGTGGTAAGCTGTGCTCATTGTTGCTGGGTCTCCTCCTGCAGTGGCATGAGGAGTCGTGAACGCTCGGCTGGGACCTGCTTTGCCACTTCAGAGCAAAATAAATTGAATTTCATGCGGCAGAGTGGCGTGAGGCACTTGAGGTGTCTGGGTGCCTGGGGGTGCTTTAGGAGCTGCTGCTGTTCTCTCTCAGGCAGACAGGTGCTGGGGAAGGGCAAACTGAGGTGTTCCACTGTGACTTTAGGATTGTCTGGGTCCTGAAAAGGCCTTGGTGAGGTTTGTGGCTCCTCAGTAGCTGTGCTGCAGGGGCTGGGCTTCAGTGTCTTTGTTTCCACAGCTACTGCAGCTTGTGCAGCCTTTTTTTCCTTCAAATTCTGTTATTTTCCAGTAACTTGTCCTCATTTCCACTGTTGCAGCACTGGCTGCTTCCTGTGTGAGACTGTTCCAGCATTCCATGTGCAAACTTCACCTCAACTCCCTTTATGAGCAAACCACAGACTGTCCTGTAGGGAGGGGATGGCTTTTCCCGGGTGCTGGTGGTGGCTGTTACTGCCCCTTGGGTTATTGTCCTTTGGCTGGTGAAGCCAATCACCTGCTTCTACCAAATTAAGTAGCTCCTGTAATGAATAAAAAATCAGAGGCTGAGAGCAGGTACGCTTGAACAATATCCTGGGAGCAGTGACAGATGCCCTGATGCCCCAGCCCTGTGGGTCTGCTGAGCTGCTGCAATCCTTTGTTCAGGGTTTGGTCTTGATTTTTTTTTTTTTTTTAAATTCCTTTTCTCCCAAGGAGCTTTCCAAGCCACCACGGGCTGGAGCCTGCCCTGGCCTGTCACTGTCTGTCATTCCACACGTGCCAGCTGGAGCAGGGAGAGCTCCAAACCATGGCACGCAGCTCCTTGGCCGCGGCTCTCCCAGCCGAGCTGGGGAATCATGTGCTGCCAGGAGTAAAAATAGTCACTGCCCCTGCTCGCTGTCGAACCGGTGCCTGTGGCAGCCCCTGCCCGGCACTGGCTGAGCGGGGTCGCTGCGGGTCCAGCCCGGCCGTGCTCCCTGTCCCCCTCGCTGCTTCCTGGGGCCTGGAAAACGCTTCCCGCTCTCATGACTTACTGGCATTAAAAAAATATTTCCACTTGACTTGCACACACGTCAGTGCCCGCGGCTCCCCCGGGCCCCTCGCCAAGGCCGGGCTGCCTTTCCCGGGAGCTCGGTGCTGGCGCAGGCGGTGACGCAGGACCGGGGAGCGCGGGGGCCACCCCGTCACCCAAAACTGGCCTCGCTCATGCTGCTGCCTCCTCACCCGGCTGCTGCCTGGCCCCGGAGCCACGGGCAGCACTGTCCCTGCCCTGTGTGACCCCCAGAGCCACGGGCAGCACTGTCCGTGCCCTGTGTGACCCCCGGAGCCACGGGCAGCGCTGTCCGTGCCCTGCCTGTCCCCTCGCATCCCCGGCCGGCGGGTGCTGCCGTGGATCACCACGTGGAGCCCACTAAGCTGTAGGATTTCGGGTGGGGTTTTTTTCCTTCTCTTTCTCATTTTTTCTGTCCCTCCCCCGTTCTGTTTTGGTGAGAAAATGGTGCTGCTGGAGGGGGGTTAAGCTGCAGATCTGAGCACCTCCTTCCCCGGCAGCACCCCGGGGCTGGGGGGGCCGGGGCCGGTCCATCCGCGGGGCCGGTCCTTCCCCGGGGTCGGTCCTTCCCCGGGGCCGGTCCATCCGCGGGGCCGGTCCTTCCCCGGGGCCGGTCCTTCCCCGGGGCCGGTCCATCCCCGGGGCCGGTCCATCCCCGGGGCCGGTCCATCCGCGGGGCCGGTCCTTCCCCGGGGCCGGTCCATCCGCGGGGCCGGCCCATCATCGGGGCCGGTCCTTCCCCGCGGCCGGTCCTTCCCCGGGGCCGGTCCGCTCCGCCCCGCTCCGCCCCCGGGCCCGCCCGTCCCGCCATGGCGGCGGCCTTCACCGCCCTCCGCGTCCTGCTCGGGCTCTTCTTCCTCCTGACCGGCGTCCTGAAGCTCTCGGACCGGCTCTCGGCCGACCTGCACCGGCACATGGTGAGCGAGGGGGCGAGGGGGGCGCAGGGCCGGCCCCGGGGGGAATGAGCAGGTTGGGGTGGAGGGTTGAGCCCCTTGGGGTGCAGGACCGAGCCCTTGGGGGGAGTGAGTAAATTGGGGTGTGGAGCTGAGCCTTGGGCGAGAATGAGCAGGTTGGGGTGCAGGGCTGAGCCCCGTGGGGCGTGGGACTGATCCCCTCAGGGTGCGCGGTTGAGTCAGTTGTGGTGCGGGGCTGACTCGTTTAGGGTGCAGGGTTGATCCCCTTGGGGTGCAGGGCAGAGCAGAGCAAAGCAAACCCCCTGGAGGGGCTGTACCCCCCAGCCCCAGGCTCAGGGCTGCCCCGCTCCCCTCCCACCCTTCCCAGGCGTCAGAGTTCGTGCGCTTTGCCAAGGTGTTTCCCCTGAAGGAGTTGGGGTTTGTGCCGGAGCCGGGCGGGTACCTGGCGTTCGTGGGCTGGGTGGAGGCGACGGCCGGGCTGCTGCTGGCACTCGGGCCCCAACTGCTGCAGGAGATCAGCAACTTCGTCCTCAGTGTCGTCATGATCGGTGAGAGCCAGCAAGCACCCGCCACCCCACATGGGGTCTCGGGGGGTCCTCGGCCGGGGACCCCCATTCCCACGCTCTGCTCCTCGCCCAGGTGCCATCTACACACTGCTGGCGCTGCGGGAGCCGCTGGCCATGTGTGCCCCGGCCACCCTCTGCCTCGGCCTCCTCCTGCTGCTCAACATCCGCGGGTACCCGGCTGCCCCCCGGCCCAAGTTTGAGTGACCGGAGGCGGGAAGGACGGACGGCTCGGACGGCGGGAAGCGATGCCTGTGTGATATTTTCAGGGATGGCATCGCTTCCTGCAAGGTAACTTGCTGCTGAGGCCCAGTGTGTCCTCTCCTGCCTCTGCCAGGGACCCTGGTGCTGGTTGTCCCCACGCTGTGGGCTGGTGCTGTGGGCTGGTGGCCGTGGCACCACTGTGACACTGCCGTGGCGCCGCCGCCGCTCCGGCAGCTCCGTTGCTAAACTTGCACAAGGTGTCTGGCTCTTCCCGGCGTTTGGCCACGCCGAGCAGGGGCTGGCTCTGCTCTCCTGGGGGCTTTCGTATTTTGGAATAAACCCTCTTGTTTTTCATGTTTTGCCTTCCTGTTTATTTCTGCCTCCCCCCGTGCTGAGCTGTGGTGGCTGAAGGGACCTCCTGGGGCTGGAGGCCTCAGTCCCCAGGAGCAGTGCCTGCAGAGAAGGCCTGGGGACATGTGGGAGCTGGTGGCAGCTGGTGTGGAGACAGAGGGACAGCGGGGAGAGCCTGTGTGGGGGTGGGACCCCCCCAGCTGCCTGGAGCCACCCAGCAATGTACCAGGCCACTTGCTGCACATCCAGGGTGTGACAGCAGCACCACAACCCCCAGTGTGCCTGGGCAGCCACATGGTTTTGGGATCTTGCTCCTACAAGATGACTCTGCCATCCCAGATGGGCGTGAACCCCAAGATTGCATCTGAACCCAGCACATCTCCTGGCACATGGGCTGGGATAGCTTTGGGGGGAGACTGGGATGAGCACAGGGGGTACAGCACCCCTGCACCCCCAGCAGGACCTGAACCACCTTTGGTGTCCCAAAGGAACACCCACAAATTGCAGGGCCACACAAAGCAGTGAATTGGGTGCTCACAGAGCTTGGGGGGCCTGGGATGCTGCTCCTCCTAAATCCAGCTTTGAAGCCAACAAAAGCACCAAGAGCTGGGAGGAGGCAGATTCCTGCTTTGATCCCTTCAGGGCATCCCCTCTTCCCCCAGCAGCCGGGTGCAGAAACTTGACCCTCCACTGCTTTCATCCGGGCGTGGGTGGGAGCAGGGCCCTGGGAAATGGTATTGGATGTGGCTGGGGGCACGCAGGGGGTCAGCAGTCCTGGCCACCCCCACATGCCCCCAGCCCCGGCAGCCGGCGCGGGGGGTCTTAGCGTGGCTCCAGCAGGGAATCCCCCATTACATACACACACAGGTGCTCTCCCACTCCAGCTGCTGTCCCACAGGGGGGCTTGGAATGGTGGGGGGAAGGTCAGGCAGCCCCTGCCTCCCCCAGCGCTTAAAGACTTCCCCAGCCTGGCTGGATCAGACAGTGAGGAGCAGCCGGAGGGGACGCAGCCTCTCCAGCCCGACCTGGTGGGGTGAGTAACCATCGTGGGGTGGGTGACATGGAGCATCCCCGGTGCTAATGGTGGGGGGAGGAGAAGGAAAAGGGGACAACTGAGGGATCTCAGGACCCTCAGGGGTCCAACCGAAGCCCTGAATCCCCCCCAGGGTTGGCAGCTCAAGCCCTCCGTGCCTCTGCCCGGTGCCGGGTGCTGCGTGTGCCGAATCCGGCCCTGCCATGCTGGAAAACACCGGCTGGTGACTCAGTGCTGTCGGCGAGGTGTGGGCAGGCGGTGATGGGAGGTGAAATAGCTGCAGCCCCGGATACAGCCACTGCGGCACAACGTGGTTTCCCATGGCTAGAACCGGAGGCAAACCTACCCGTGCAGGGCTGGGGGGCTGCTGGCCCCACGCTCCTACCTCCTGTCCGTGCCTGGGTCTCTCCATTCGGGAGCACCCTGAGCCAGTGGGTGACTTCCTGGGGGGGGTTGGGGTGCTGGGAGAGGGCTGGGGTGGGTGGCCCTACAGGCACGTGCTGTGTGGGAGGTGTTAAGCCCCGCAGCTGCCGGCTGGAGCCAGCACAGCACCCCCGGGTGCCTCTGGCCGCAGCTCTGTCCCTCAGACACAGTGCAGCTGCGCCTGCCGCTCCCTGGGGAGCCCTGGCTGGGCAGCTGATGGCAACCTCTGGGCTCCCTCGTGGCGTGGGGGGACATAGCTGGGGTCTCCTCATCTCCTGTGAGGTCTGAGCCCCTCCAGCATCCTAATGGGGGCTCTGCTTCTGGCGCCCAGCAGTACTGCAGGTGCCAGCCACAGGGGTGTCCTGTGCGGGTCAACACCCCTTCCCTGTCCCCGAGGGCTGTGCCACTGACTGTTCCCTGCCTTTGCAGGAGCCCAGGATGAACAGCTCGGCACCAGGGCCGCAGCCAACGGGACACACCGGCGAGTGCCTGCCCAGTGACCCGGTGCTGTTCGTGCTGGTGCCCGTTGTCTACTGCCTGGTGCTGTGCGTGGGGCTGCCGGGCAACCTGGTGGCCTTGCTGGTCTTCCTGCAGAGCGGCAAGGTGAGGAAGGCCATCCGCATCTACCTCATCAACCTCACGCTGGCCGACATCCTCTTCAACCTCACGCTGCCCCTCTGGATCCACTACTACCTGTCCGGGGGGGACTGGCTGCTGTCGGAGGCCGCCTGTCGCCTGGCGGGGGCCGCCTATTACCTGGCGACCTACAGCGCCGTCACCTTCATGGCGCTCATCAGCTTCAACCGGTTCTGCGCGGTGCGGGCGGCGCGGCGGGCGCTGCCGCTCACGGGGCCCCGCGGCGCCGCACTGGCCTGCGCCCTGGCCTGGCTGCTGGGGCTGGGCTGCGCCGTGCCCACCCTGGCCGCCCGCCAGACCTTCCCCGCCCGCGCCGGGGCCACCGCCTGCTTCGAGCAGCACGGGCGGCACCGCGCCTACGCCTACGCCATGGTGGGCTTCTTCGCCGCCGCCTTCCTGGTGGTGCTGGGCACCTACGCCTCCATCGCCCGGGCGCTCTCGGCGCCCGCCGCCGCCGCCTCGCCGGGCTCCCACCGGCAGCAGGCGCGCGCCATGGTGCTGGGGATGCTGCTGGTCTTCGTGGTCTGCGTGGCCCCGTACCACCTGACGCTGGCCCCCTGGGTGGGCAGCCGGCCCCCCGCGCCGCCCTGCGGGCCCCCTGACACCCTGGACGTGCTGCACGCGCTGAGTGTGGCCCTGCTCAGCCTCAACAGCTGCCTGGACCCCCTCGTCTACTGCTTCTCCATCCGGCGCTTCCGCGCCGACCTGGGCCGGACCCTGCGCAAGATCGGCCGGTGCCTCCCGCTGCCCCCGCCGGGCCCCCCCGGGCCTGTGCCTGGCACCCGTGTGTCCTCCTTCATCTCCTCGTAGCAAGGTGGGCACCGGGGACCTGCCCCTGGCTGCCCTGGTGCCACAGTCCCGGTGGGATGGGATCCCTGGGACCAGGCCAGGGATGGGGAGCAGCGTGGGGGGAGCTCTGACTTCAGGCACCCTCTTCCTCCTCCCACCCCGCTCTGTTCTCTGCACATCTCCACCTGCCCACAGTTTCTGCTCACGCACGGATCCTGCCCCTGCGCCACAGGCACTGGGGGGGGCACTGGCTCTGGGAGAGGGGCTCGCCCAGCGAGCGGGGCTGTGCCATGGTGGGATGTGAGGAGACAGGACTGGGAGGGATGCCCAGGGGTTGCTGTCCTTTCCTGGGGATCTCCATCCCGCAGGGACTAAAGAGCCCTGTGACATGAGCTGTGCTGCCCGGGAGCTTCCTGGGCAGGGCTGCTTGGGGTCCCACAGCCGGTCCCATCCTGCAGCATTCCCTAGCCTCGTGCCCGTGTCCCTCCTGCTCTCGACTAGGATTAAAACCGAATAAGCCAAAGGCTTCCCTGGTCTCTCTGCTGCGGGTGCTCGTTCCACGCATCGAGCAGCTCCTGGGGCCCGGGGAGGGCTGGGTGTGGGGCAGCCCCCGGCCCCCCATCCGAGCCCCGCTCCTGCGGCAGGACCCTGTGCCAGGGCGGCTCTTGCACCGGGGGCTGAGCCCCGCGCCCCCCTGCCCCATCCCCTGCCCTGCCCGCGGGTGGGCGGCCCTGGTGGGCGCATCTTAGCCCCAGCCCAGCAACAGCCGCCCCCTCCCTGCGAGCCCCGGCGCTGCGGGGGCGGCGGAGCGGCTGCGGGGCCGTGGGCGGTTGCGGGGGCGGGAGATGGTGTTTTCCCAGCCCTGGCTCCTTCTGCTGCCAGCACGGCCCCGCTCCCGCTGCTGCACCGACGGGAGCGCGGGTCCTGCGCAGCCACGCGGGGTCTGGGCGTGGTGGGGGACCGGGGTGCATCGGCTGCCCCCCAACCGGGGGGTCTCGCTCCCCCAGCACAGGGCTCCTCTCCAGCGCGCTCCCACCCACCGGTGCACGGAAGGAAGCGTGAGGCACCGGGCAGGAGGAGATGGGCTGCCTGGGCACTGCTGGCACGGGACAGGCAGGGTGGCAGCGGGCAGTGGGACGGGTGGGTGATGCTGTGCTTTTGGGTGGTGGGTTATTAAGGGCCACCTAGTTGCCAGTGGAGGTGAAGGTGTGGGGCAAGGCCAGACCCCCATGAGAATCGTGCATCGTTATGACCCAGGCAGACCCCAGCCCAGTTAACCCAGTGGGCTCACGGGGTGTCTGTGGTGCCCGTGGTGCCCAAGCACTTTGCTCTGGCCCCATGGGCAGGGCTGGATGGAGCAGGTCTCCATGTGCTGCAGTGCTGCTTCTCAGCAGAGCTGGGACACGTCCCAGGGTGCCTCTGCTCTGCACCCGGCCCCGGGCCAGCCGCCTTCGACCACCCTGTTCTTCCCCTTTTGAAGTTCATATTAAATTTTAATCCTTTTATATAACTGCTGAGGGAGGGGGCAGAGCTCTGCTCCCCGTGTGCAGCAGGAGCAGCCGTGTCAGCAGTGCAGGGTGCTGCAGGGCCTGGGGGGTGTCTGCGACTGGGGGGGCAGCAGGACTTCTGGGGGGCTCTCTGCGTGCCAGGAATGGGGGCTGCCCAAGCTCTGGCTCTGGCAGGGTGTCCTGTTCAGGGGGAAGGCCTGGGGACATGGCCAGCCTGGCAAGGACCACAGCGCTGGGGCATGGACACAACTGCCTAAAAATCCATGCAGGGCACGTGCCCGGGCCGTGTCCTCCCACAGACCGGGCAGGGGCTCCCATATGGGGTGCCAGGGGATTCCAGGGCCAGCACGGCACCAGGACAGGGCATGTGCCACCGCGCTGCTCCTGCCACCACGCAGCAAGGCGTTACCCAGGTTATTGTTCCTGCACTTCCAGCCCACGCATGCTGTAATTATTATTATTATAATTATTATCAAATTACAGGGTGTGGTGCCAGGGGCTCGGCGGGCAGGCGGCCCCCGGTCTGCTGGGGGAAGGCTGGGCCCCCGGGGTTCTACCCTGCCCAGGGCTGGCCCAGCACCCTGGGGCTATGCTGGCACCCCGAAATTGTCCTTGTACCCCAGGGTTATCCTGGCACCTCAGGGCTATCCTGGAACCCTGGGGCTGTCCTGGCACCTCGAGGCTATCGCAGCACCCCAGGGATATCCTGACACCCCAGGGCTGTCCCAGCACCCCATCCCCTCCCAGGCAGGTTTCGTGGCTACGGGCAGGGGTGGGTGACAGTCGCCGGGTGCCCCCACCGTCCCGGTGTGCCCCAGGGGATGCCCGCGGCTGGGTCCCCCCTATCCCGGTGCCAGCCCGGCTCGGCGGGGCAGAGCCCACCCCGCACACCCCTCCGCCGGCAGCTCCCCGGCCCCACGCGCGGCTCCCCCCGTTCCCCCCCCACCCCCGGGGGGTCCCGGGGGCGCCGGGAGGCGGCGGCAGAGCCGCACCGGAGCCATTTTGCGCCGCCGCCGCCCGCTCTGGCTCCCGGGGAAAATCCACCGCCGTGTCTTGGCGCTGCCGCGGCGGCCCCGCTCCGCTCCCGCCGCTCCGCGCCCGCCCGCGCTGCACTGCGGGGCCGCCGCCACTCGCATGCTGCCGCCCGCGGGGCGCCGGCCCGGGCCGAGCCGGGACCAGCCGAGCCCAACCGAGCCGGGCCGGGACCAGCCGGGCCGGGGGCGGCCGCGCCGGGTCGTCGGGGAGCCGCCCGGGAGCCGCCGGAGGATGTAGGCGGCGGGAGCGGGGTAAGAGCGGCGGGGCGGCCCCGGTCCCGAGGGGATGCGGTGCCCGGCGCGGGAGGGGGGCTCTCCCCTGCGGGGCACCGGGGCCGTGAGGGACCGGCCCCGCAGGGACGGGACGTGTCGCCTGCGGACCCATCCAGCCCCGCCGAGAGGGTGTCCGGGGAGAACCGGGGGGATGGCCCGGGATGGAGTCGGAGGGGATGGAGGCGGCGGATGCCAGGGAAGGTTTTGCCGGTACCGCGGTGCTGAGCTCGGCCAGGATCCCCCGGTGGGTGCGGGAGAAGGGGTGCGGGCATCCCCATCTCCTGCTGCCCGAGGCTTTGGGGAGGGGGCCGCAGCCCGCAGCCCCTGGAAGGCGACAGCAGCCATCCTGCGCTCTCCCGCAGCGGAGGGCTCGGGGCAGGCCCAGGACCCCTCCCCAGCCCGGGGGACTCCCCCTCCCATCCTGCCGGGGGTGGCGCTGGGTGCGAGGGCCATGCCCGGCCGGGTGCTGGGAGCTGGCGCGGGGCACGAGCCGAGCGGTGCCATCACCGCCACGGTCCAACCCAGCCTGGCAGGCAAGGAGAGCTCCGGGGGCCAGGCTCTGGGCTCTCCCTCCTCCCGACGCCTTCCTTCCCCCGGACGGCTGGGTTTTGTTGGAGGAGCCGGTCTGGTCCCTCCATCCTGCGCCAAACCTGCAGAGCAAGTTGGCTCCGGGACCGCTGGTCTCTCTCCATCCCGTGACATCCAGCCCCGCACGTCACCTCCCTCGAGGCGTGCAGGGCTGTGCTGCCCACGGCGGGACCCCTGGCAGGAGGGGACAGAGCCGGGCTGGTGGGTGCTGGCTGTCCCCGTGGGAGCAGGCGGCCTCCCTCGGTGTAAATCGGGGCAGGATCCAGCCGGCAGCGCAGATTCTCCTCCAGGAAATGGATGTCGGTCTTTGTCTCTCTCAGTTCCTCACCCCCGTGCTCTCTCTGTCCCCACGTGTGCATCCATGGCTCCCGGCCCTCCAGGACCCCCTCTGCAGGGGGATGGAGCACGGGGAAGGCCACGGGGAGATGGGCACGTCTGGAAGGAGCAGGTCAGCCCTTTTGAAGCGTTATTGCAGCGCCGGCAGGGCTGGGAATGCAAAAATAGCCACCAAAGTGACCGTGGAGCATCTGAGCCAGAGGGGCCCCTCTTGGCTGTGGGGGTGGTGAGAGCAGTGGTGAGAGGGGGCACAGGCATGAGCCGTGTTTGGGGCTGCCTTGGGCACTGTTGTGCCACCGAGCCTGGGCACCAGGACCAGCTCTGGGCATTCCTGCTGCAGGGAACAGGGTGACACAACTGTGGTGTCCCCATCCAGCCTGGGCGAGTTGGTGCTGAGCTCTCGGTGTCCAAATCTCCCTCCTTGAGTGCCAAGGCTTGTGCCATGTGGGCTGGAGGAGAAACCCCCGGCCCTCCAAGCCCTCTTTCTGGGCCTGGCTCTCAGCAGCCTGGGCAAGGCATGGGAGGAACAGAGGGTGTGTGGCAGCCCAGGCTGGGGGTCCCTGGTGGGGGCCCTTCCTTCAGCCTCCCCATCACCAGCTTGAAGGCAGAGCCATGCCAGGACCTGTGGGACACAGAGCCCGTGCAGGTGGCTGGTGGCTGTGCTGGTGTGTGCCTCCCCACAGCTCTGCCCACTCACGGGGGCAGGATCAGGCCTCGTGCCCAGGTGGTGCTGCTGTGGGGGCTGGAGCTCCAGATCCAGGTTTTGCAGCCGCTCGCATCTCTCCAACAAGCTGATCCAAAATCCTGGATCCTACCCAGCCAGAAATTTGGATCTGGAGCCAAAGGTGACTCTTGGCCCTTATTGCCATCACGGGTGAAGCTAAAATCTGGATCTGAGTGGTGACGTGAGGAGCCTGGATCCGGCGCAGGGGCCGAACAGTGTGGCTTGTGCTCCTTCTGCCCATCAAATTGGATTTCCCGAAATAGCCTGTTGAAGACCAGAGCCCGGCAGGGACCGAATCACAGGTCACCAGGGGTGTGGAAGCCCCATCACAGGCCTGGCTGCCTGCTCCAAGACGTTGGCAGCCAGCAATAATAGTAATATACGGTGGCACTGCCGGGAGAGCGCAGCGCTGGAGAGCCAAGAATAGCAGGCGAGACGTGCCAGCAGCGAGGGGCTCGCGGGGCGGGCGGGGGGCACGGCCAGACGTGCCCTGGGGGACACCCCGGTGGGGACAGCTCCCCTCCTCACAGAGGGCAGGACATCCCTGCGGTGTGGGTG